CGATTTATTTCTTTGTTCGCCCGTCAGTCTGACAGTCAACACAATGCATTTTGTATGCAGCTGTCACTTTGACATCTTGTTTGTCATACACTTTCTTGGCACACTGTGCGCGCAAAGATTTCTGCAGTGTTACTTGTTTTGTTGGTTTTTCTTGTAACTTTTTTGATTTAGTGCACTGTGGTCGTGTTAACATGGTCTGCTGCTCTGGTGCCTTGGCCCTATATTAATTTGGTCGAATGTATTTTGATATTTGGCTAATGTTCGCAAGACTTAAAAGTAAACTTTCATATTATAGAATTTATTTTTGAGTGCTTTGGAATCTACTTGTTACAAATTCGTATAATTTAAAAGCGTTAATTTTAAACTATTATATACAGTTTTATATATAGTACTACCCGTTTAGTTAATCACTCATTATCTCTTTTCAGATATTTGAACTACTCTTTCAGGTCAAAGGCTATGTAAAGGCTGATATTTTAGGTGTCAGAAAATGCTAAAGAGATGTACTGCGACTTTTAAGCCTCAAGAGGTCAGGATATTCTTTTAAAAATGCAAAGAGAGACCAGGATACTTATGTTCATAACATTTATGAGTTTAATTTCCAACACTTCTCTAATCAGTAGAATTCAATTCCTTCTCTAACTACCATAAAGCCCCAGTAACAAAAGTACCACTGAAAAACAATGCGAACTTCTATAGGCTGACGACTGGTCTTTCTAAATCGAACCGTCATTATCTCATCATTCTTAATATCAACTATATTGAGCTTCAACAAACTTATTGAGTATAATCATTGTTGGTTTAGAGATACAAAGTTGTTGTTGACCAGTAATTCATTATCCTACAGGTTTTGAAAAATTGTTATGCAATGATTTCAGAGATGACATACGATTGAAATAAAGGTAATACCAACAAGAAACATATTTGAGAAAAATGCATATACGGCTAAAAACGATTTCATGTTGGTTCTCTCTTTGTTCTTTAATCTACATAACAATTGAGAATTAAGTGAACGAATAAATGTCAGTCTTAAAATCAGAGAAAGAGCTTTGAGTAAAACAATCCGCTTTTGACAAAACACATCTCAGMCTCAGAAGGGAAAATTATTTTGAGGTTTGAATAGCACTTGATTGTAGACTTCGCCGAGTCACGATTATTAAGAATTCTCTAGACAGTGAGAAATTCTTCTTCTTCTTTACTGGCCGCTTATGAGGCTATAGCCGAATTAACAACAGCGCGCCAATCCTTGTTTTTTTTCACGGCTGAAGTTGTTGTCGGTGTCGATGCTGGTTTTAAGGTAGCCGTAATCATCTACATCTGCAAAGTTATGACTGTCAACAGTGACGTGTGAGCCAAGTTSCGAATGCGATGACTATTTGTTTGAGGACAGGAGATACTTCATATTTTCCTCGTTCACAACCGAAATGAGAAAATATTATATAACTGGGAAAGTGCTATACCCAGTGTAACAAACTAAGAAAAAACTATTTTCTTTTCTAAGCCGCTTCCTTTGTTCWTTTATCACACCCATATTTGGATAARAATTTATTTTTATGTATGTCGTGTGCACTTAACCCACATATTATCCTCCATCATATATTGTCTACAACTCACACGTAAACAGAGTCAACACGTACACAAAAAGGTCACCATTGAAAATCAGATAAATAAATGATTTCAACGCCTTTCTTTCCATCAATACAACAATAAAAGGATGTTAAAGGACGCTTTTGTTTGATTGGTTGCGGATATTATTGGTTGAGTGTGCTGAAGTGGGCGGAAAAACGTTTGAAAAAATTAAATACAATTATTTGTTTTAACAGAAAAAAAAGGTTTTAAGGCAAATGCAAATATGAGAATATTAAAGAAGAACAATGTTGTCACATTTGTTGAATGATATTTGATTGCTCGTATGACGACAGAATTCTGCAAGATACAATTTATATATGACAGAAATTTAAAATGCAATTTTCAAAATAATATTTTTAAAAGAATCACACACAAAAAACTAAAATTCAAATGTTATAAATAACTATCAGTTTAGGCTTTATACATTTTGCCATCGAAACTAACGATTGAATTTATCAATTGTGTCAATTAAGCTTTAGGCCTCAATTAGTATCAGAATATGATTAACATGCTTCACTATGGAACTAATTTAAAAAAAAAAAGAATTTAACTTAAATAAAACTTCTGGAAGAAAATCGAAAATTTCATCACCTCTAACACTTTTAACTAAAAATTTCGTAATTATTCTTCAAAACTTCAGAGGTCTTTTAAGCGAAAAAATCGATAATATATTGTATTGATTTTAATCGATAATTTCAAACCACCATCAAATATAATCATGCTTATTAAATAATACTGTTAGGGTTAGGTTAAATGGCTGATAGAAGATAACAAGTGGACTACTCTATATAGCCCTTTATGAGGCCATTGAAAAGAAGAACTCCTGTGTTCGAACTTACAAATTAGCAAACCGCTTAGTACAAATTTGCACAAGAATTTAATTCCCCTTTCTGCCAACTCAATGGTCTGAAGGTATGCGCTCCCAAACGCGGACAGTCAAGAAGGAAATGTTGAGTTGTTTCCACCTCATCTTGTTCCATACAGCTTCTACAGATGGCGTCTGGTAAGATTCCCAAACTTATAGCATGGACGCCAATAGTGTATGGCCTATTGAACGCCTCACAATTAGGGAGAGGCTAGCCTTACTGAGGGTAACGAGATCACTAGATCTCTTTCGATCGATCTTGGGCCGTTATGAAGACAAAATGAGTAAGGATTTCCGAGTGTGCAGACACCCGTTTTTTTTAGAAACCCAGACTCTCTGAGTCTGATGGCAATATGTACAGCCATACACCTTCCGGCGATATCCACAGGCAATAAATAAATAAAGTTAAATATACAAGCTGCGTGTCAAAGTAAACTTTTTGAATCTACCGCCCCCTGGTGGCTCCATCTATATGTCTACTTGTGCGTTAGAATCTGCTATCTTTATCGATTGTGAGTGAGAATTTCATGACATTTCATAGATTGGAAGTGAATTTATTGCGTTTTAAGTGTCAGTACAAACATACTAAGTATCGGTACGAAAATTAGCTTCGAACAAAGAGCCAAAATTACATTTTGTTTTAAAATTGGTAAAACTTTTACCGAAACGTTTCAATTGATGAAAGAAAATTATGGCGATGATTACTTATTCCGTAGAAGAGTGCGTTCAACTTTTTCGAAGTGGTCGTGAGGACATAAATGACGATCAACTTGTGGGCCATTCAAAATCCGTGATCATCGGAAATTCCATCGAAACTGTGCGTGAATTCATCAAAAATCAGCCGAAATCATCATTGAAATTCATGGAAATGATATTTTATGCTTAGCTAAAACCTTTTTTCTTTCATTTTAATAAAATTATAAATTTACTAAGTTGAATYTAGAAGAAAAAATAACATTTAAATTTAAAAATAAAGAATTCTTGCATTAATATAATTATTACCATATATGAATGAATGAATGATGATGAGGAATGCACAGCGACCTTTGGTCTATTGTGGACTCTCCTTACTCACAGTGATTCGCTTAGCCCCAGCCCATTAATGAAGTTCAGTATACTGCTTGGCGCTAGCGAGGCAATGCGATCCCTATCCGGAAACAACACTCCAAGGGCCTTGGCTCTGCGTCTACAGACTGCTGTGCAGTCGATCAACAGATGCTCCGGAGTTTCAGGCTCCCTGTCACAGAAACGGCAGTTGGCGCCAGCTGATAGGCCCATGCTGTGCAGATGCCTATTCAGCTTACAGTGGCCAGTATACCATGCGACTAACAGCCTGAGTTTGCTCCTGGGGAGGTTATTACGATTTTGAACCTTTTCAGGTTGTAATCTCCCATTACCAGCTTAGCGGGTCTCATACCATGAGTTTGTCGCCAGTGCTCTTCCCTGTCAGCTCTTTCCTTTTTACGGAGCAGCTCCTACATGGTATGAGGACCCACACCCATAAAGGTTTCGGATCCTACCATCCTGGTGGAGGCTGCGGAGCGGGCGAGCTCGTCCGCCAGTTCATTGCCGGCTATACCTTTGTGACCAGGCACTATTACCATATATATTTCTTTTATTATTATAATTTCTTCAATAAAAGAAAACATGTTATTTTGATATTTTTCTTGACATGGCAACTCTACTATAATACTACTAAAACCTTTTCGCATTAACCCGATAAATAAACACAGACAGGACATTTAAGCAAATAAGTAATAGCGTATACAAATATATCCCTTAGAAAAATACAGCTGTCTGTGATTTGCTTTGTACGCACTTCATTTAATCCATTAATTCTTAATAAAGGCAAAGCACTGCACGGCGCCATGTTCATGCGTACGTTTTACCTGTAGGAGGATATTACTGTGTACGTTGTATAATTTTGATTACTTAGCAAGTGGACTATAACCATTCTACATTTTCGGTCTTGCCTTCAATACCTTCTTATGCTACATTTTCAAACTATGAGCAAGGCATACCTGTTTTGGCCGCTGAGCGTTAGCGGCGTTTATGCGAAGAAAATGGTTCAAATATGTACACACATGAACACATAAATTATTTCAATTCGTTGCGGCAACTTCTCCAGCAAAAAACGGACAAAGTCCTAAAAAAACACTTTCATGTGACAATCAATTTGCATGCGACATCAAAGTGGATGCGCTAAACAAAACAAACAATTGCTTTCATAAACAATAAAAAACCGCTTTGATTAATCTGCAAAATAAATAGGAAAGAAGGTAGCTCGATTCTTAGCCGCATAAGGAATACAAATATGCTTACAAGTATCAGSGCACCTTCCGTACCCGCATTTCAACCTTCAATACGCATAAATCTTTTCTCTATAACTTTTTGGCATTTTTTTTCCGAATAACCTTTTTACTTGCTATCTGCCTCAAAGACCTTCATTCTACGCTTACTCACTTCAATATTTTTTATATTTTCTTCACTTCTTCACTTCACTTACCTCTCTAATGTCGATTTTGCCATCCTGATTATCATCGTAAGCCTCCATGAAACACGATTTCAGCTCCTCAAGCATTGTGTCGGTGACAGCCTAAAAATGAAAAAAATAAAGCAAAAGAAAAAGAAGTTGAGAAAGTGCACACAAATACACCAAATTGTTATAACAATGCCAGATGTATATATGTATTGTGAAAGGATGCTTGAAAATATGTGATGCAGCGAAGGGCATAGAAATCAATGCGGGCTTAAAGTATGATAAAGTGGCAATGGTGTTAAGCAACTCAGTGATAGCGCCGGCTTCTCCACCGACACGCTTGACTGGCAAAAAATGCTGAGTGCTTAGGCGTTTGGTTGAGTTTATTCTTTTTTTCTCGCTTTGCGCTTGTAATTTTTTATCTGAATTTCTAAGTTTAAGCTATATTTATAGAAATAAGCAAGATTTCTTTGCCAAAAATGAGATTTACATACATGTGTAAATATGTATGTGCATATTCAAAAAGCCTGTATTATCTTTTTAAATTATGCGAAATTTATTATAAAGCGAATTGGTATGGTTTAATAACAGCTTTTTGTTGTAGAAAAAAAAAAATTCCGTAGGGTACGCTAAATTTTAGGATAATAATTTTCTTAATGCAATATTTGAATTTCGAAGGCGAATAAAATAAATATGTTTTTTTAGCAGATTTTATTATACGCTACTTTCACTCATCTGCAAGTTTTTAAAATCAAATTTTAAATTTTTGATTAAAAATAAGATAAGGCGTAAATTTTGATTTCTCCGACCTCACAAATACAAACTTTTCCGTAAAGAAACTTGACTTTCAATAGTAATTGGATCCGAACAATTTCTTCGGAAATAGAACCGTTGCTTTGAACAATACGTCAAGTCAACGTACAAATTCCGTAAAGATATCTTTTCTAACTAAAATGTTCTCCATACAATCACTCGAGTTGGATCGGTTAGTTTTTTTGGCAGATATATGCTACAGTTGTCCGATGGTCAAATCGATTCGATTGGTCTCGTCATGCTGATACTACTCTGGGCAAAAAATAGTGAGACTTTTTTATTTAAATTYCGCGCGGAAGTATGTTGKTATGACTAACAGTAAKATCTGTGCCAAWTGTCACATAATCGTTATTGCTTCTATACGCTTGTCTTYCTGAAGYACATAAAGAGCTTTCGGCGATTTTTACCATGAGTTAAATTATTCAACAAAGAAGTTCCATTAAATTTTGTGTCAAATTTCTGGTGCCGAAATGTTCAGAACGTTTTAAAAGGCCTTCGGTGCTCATTGTTTGTCGCGAGCAAGCGATTTTGATGAAGAACCAGCCAACCAGCCAACCAACCAACTAATAATCAATACGTCAATAAAATAAAGCAATTGCTGTTTTAGAATCGATTAACAGTCAAAGATCTTACTGGAATCATAAGAATATTGGAARGATCGCTCATAACAATTTTGAARGATAATTTGGACCTAGGAAAAGTKAAAGCACGAAATCATTTAATTCGTGATGTTATGAAATGCAGACGATCAATGGACCAAATATCGTGGCAAAGATGAGCCGAAACCAGAAAAACCACGTCAAAGCAAGTTGAAAATGAAAGCTATGGTGACAGCGAAATGTTGATTAGCGAGTTTTAATGCAGTTTGATTTCCTTCTGACCGGCCAAACTGTTAACAAATAAGTATTGCCTCGTTGGTTTTGCGAAGCTATTCGTAAAAAGAGGCCAGCCAGAGGCGACAATTCTTGACTTTTACACCGCGATATTGCTCCGTCACACTCTGCACGGATTCTTCGTGAGTTTTAGGCCAATCTTTCAACCAATATCATGCCGCAACCACTATATTCGCCTGACTTAGCTTCGTGTGACGAATCTCTACCCCCTTTGAAGGCTATTCCGGAAAWTGAAATTGACTTTAACAACTGTTCCAAGGATTAGAAAAAACGTTGTCACAACTGTATTAGGCCCAAGGGGGACTACTTTGAGGGAGACGTTTATAGATTTTGATAAATAAACTAAGAACTAATGAACAAAGTCTTACTATTTTTGCTGATAGTAGTATATAAATTCTTTATATGGTATCTGACGCTTCACTTCTCGTGTTACATATTTGGTGGCAAACTTAAAATATTCTGTTCAGGGTATAATTATAACTTATTAAACAAAATATTTTCAATATAATTTTAATATGTTTATGAATTATCAATAATARTTTGAAAAAAGTTCACAAAATTTTGTAAAACTTAAAATCAGCATATTTGGAAATCAATATAGATATAGGATTATGTAGATATAAATGATGGGCATGTATAAAAAATTTAGACTGTCTGTCCGTCCGTGCAAGCGATAGCTTAAATTACTAATAAATATTCTAATAAATAAACTCTATCTTGAATGGAAGAACTTACCTCTGGACTGATATCAGTGGCGTTTGCACTCGATACGAATTCGCGCAGGAAGCCATCCAATTCTGTGCCTTCAATGTAACCGTTACCTGTAGGAATGCAAAAATATAGAAACCCATAAAAATTTTTTAACTCAATATTTAAAACAATATTAAAAACAATTATTACAATTTAGTTGCAACACTTAATATCAAACTTTTTCTTTATTACCACCAGGTACTCACCATCTTTGTCGTAATGTGCCCACACATCCATAAATTGATTAGCTGACAACTTTTTCAATTCACGCGACTCGGGATCACGGTATTGACGCATGAAATTATGAGCCTTCTCGATTTGTACGCGCTTTGCAGCAGCTGCGGCGGCAGCGGCAGAAGCGGTAGCTGCACTGGGTGACTCCATAACTTAGAATATGTGTAATTAACTTGCTACTTTTCTAAAAATAACTACTTCTTCTCTTATGACGCGATTTACAGAGCGGGTGTAACGTGTTTTGGCTAAAAATAAAGAGCTGTAATTATATAGAAAATTGTATATATATTATAATATGAGTTAAAAGTTTCATATGTTTAAAAGAACTTCATGTGTCAAAATRGTATTGAAAAACATATGCCACGAACTTAATCATTCCCAAATTTGATATTTCACCGCACTGTCAAAAACTCCTAATTTTATACTATACGTCGGCTGTCAAAAACTCATAACCAATTTTCTGCGCAGCTCGCAAGGACAGTGTWGCTATCATTTATTTGCTGTCACTTCTGCCAGTTGCAAAGATATGCGGGGCGTAAGCTTGACAATAAGGGTTGTGCAGAAGCTGAATAAATGATAACATTCGCAAAAATTTTAAATTTTACGGTTAATGTACAAAAATATACAATAAACCCAAAGAATCAAAAAAAAAATTGTAGTACCGTAGTTTTAACGCCAACGAATGAGCATAAAATAAAACGTATAAAAATCGAAAAAGGAAAAAATGCAAAATTCAAATAGCACTCGGTATCATCGCTTTCGCATTCGCATTCGCACTGCAACGTCACGCTTAAAGTATTACTTGCAATTGCGTAAATAAGATTAGAGAGCATGCACGTTCGGAATCCCGGCTGACGCAAGTGTTTTTGCAGGTGGAAGTAGAACTGATTCGCTTTTTTGCAGTTCTCGCTTAAATTGCACGCAACTTGAACAACGCACCTGACTCTCAGGTCAGCTCTGGTGTTCACGCAGCCAGTCATTGCCATAAATGACACCTGAGTCGTCGAAAAAATGGAAGCCACAATAAAGCTTTGGCATCGATAGAGTCTCGTAAACTGCGGTTAATTTCGAAAGCACTTTGCTATCGCAGGCAGTAGAAAGTGCAGCGCTAAAATACATTGTGTGAAATTAATACGAGTAATTGTTGGCCTCGATTGGGAAATTTAACACGATAAGGCTTTCAAATTGGCATTAAGAGAAAAAATAAACAAGAAATTCAATTAAATAAAAGTTGAGCACAMGTTTTTTTTCGAAACGTATTTTTGTGGTAATGTACACGCGGCGCAGAATATAGTAGGTTACTAGTTATGTAATCAGAATTAAGAACGAGCATTGAATGAGTAATATATTCTGTTCAAGGCCACCATACAAGTTAAGTTTCGGACATTGAATTAAGTTCGCCGACTCTGACTATTTTCTTTAAATATGGCCCTCCAAATTTAACTCTATATACACACTGGCTCAAAATAATAGTTACACTATTAAACTTAGTACTCTCAATAGTTTAAAAAACTTTTTATGGGCTGTATGCGACAAGTTATGCTGTAAGTTTAGTTAAGATAATATGGCATCGCCCTTTCGAAAAGAATGAAGTTTGTGAATCCCCGAGTTAATACGTATATCAGTTTTGTGTGAATACTCAGAAAAAAAGAAACTTGCTCAATATAATAGTTACACATAAGAAAACTTAGCTTTTTGTGAAAACAAAGTTAATTGTATCCAGTTTTTCAAGTTTTTTTATCTGAATTGGTAAGTTTTCTTTCATTAAAGCTCAAAAGCAGCTGCAGATAAATTAAATTTTTTTTAATCAGATGGGTCGGAATTCTTCTTCGCCACATTGTAACTATTTGTAAACAGGACTCATTCAAGTCTTCGAAGGAGGTCTTTAACAGAAATTGGAAAAGTAGTAAGTGCTCAAACAGTTCGCAGGCGTT